ATTCCTAGAAGCAGAGTGTAGTAGTTTGGTGTAGAGGTATAGGGATTCCATAAAGACACTTAAGAAAAACTAAAGTTCAAACTAGAGAGGAGACAGGAATTGATGGGCTGTTACCTGATTCCATCTGTACCCTCTTTCTTGAAGGGACAGCTGGAACCCTTGATGTGGCTGGTCATAGGACCTTGGTCATAAGTGATAACTTGCAACCACCATTTATGAAGCACTGATTAGGATCCAGGCACCACGCTAAGCACTTCGCATAACTTGTTTTGTTTAATCCTCACCACAACCCTTTTGAGAAGAAATTTCTATATCCATTTTAGGATGAAAAAAATGGATATACCTTAAGTAACTTGCCCAAGGTCACATAGCTAAGATGTGATACAGATAGGATTCAAACCCAGGTCTATCTCTTTCTAAAAGCAATGTTCTCTGTACTCCTTGGCTCCTGCTCTATTGTTTTTCCAGCTGATAAAGTAGGTATTCCTTGACAACCCTGCATCCCCAACTTTGATCTGAGTGCCTGAGACTAGAAGATGAGTGTTAATGATCAGGAGGTAGTGCCTGCTTCTTAGTACCAATAAAACTGTATCCTCCTGGTTTTTGCTGTGGCCTCAGTTTACCTAGACTGAGCAGGCACCACTTTTTCTTTCTGCAAGTCTGTGTGTGCCCTGCCCTCTAGTGGTTTTGGCTTGCAATGTAACAATGACCTTGGGTGTGACTAACCTCAGGATTCTTTTTTTTTAATCATTCCATGTTTCCTTTTATTTATTTTTTATGAGAAGTACCTTTATTTCTTATTTAATAATTTATTTGTATTTATTGATCTTTAGAGAGAAAGAGGGAGGGAGAGAAACACTGATTTGTTGTTCCAATTATTTATGCATTCATTGCTGGATTTTTACACGTGCCCTGACCAGGGATGAAACCTGAATCCCTGGTGTATGGGAATGATGCTCTAACCAACTGAGCTACCTGGCCAGAATTTTAATTTTAATTTTCACTTAAGTTATGTCTTTTCAATGCCAAAATATAAAAGGGAATATTCAAAAGGAAATATTTGGAGGTAGCTTAGATTCTAAAATACATTAAACTGTTCCAGTAATATTCTGAATCTGAAAAACAGTGAGAGCAAAGAAGAGGATTAACGATCTGGTTAGGATTAATGGATTACACAGGGCTGGATCAACCTTGGCTGTCAATGAACATGGCTTCCAAGAGAGGGAATCCAATCAGAATTCCTTCCTTCCCTTGAATAGGAAAGGCCTTGCAATGGTGGGTACTGGTGCACTAAGATTTCTGACACAATGACACCTTCCCCAATCCAAGCCCTAAAAGAGCGTTGTTCAGACTTTATGAGGTACTTCTGACTCAGTAGTCTGGAATGAGACACAGAAACCTGAATTTTTAATAAGCAGCCCCAGGTAATTCTGATGCAGGCAATCTGCAGGCCATATCTTGAGATATAATGCTCACTCTGTAATAGATCTATTCCCAATTTCCCTTGAATCCCAACCCAAGCACCTTTAGGCTCTGAGGAATCTAGGACCAAATTAGCCTCTTTCCTTCACCATCGTCCGTATTGAGTTTCCTGGAGGTCATGGCTTGGATAGTCTGCAAGGCAGGCTGCAGCTGACCCAGCAGTCTGCCCGTGGTGAGTGAGGTTAGCCTTTGCTGACTTGGCAGGGGGAAACCTGAAGGAAGCTAACATTCAGTGCACTAACTGTGGGCCAGTGGGCCTGGTACTGTGCTAGGTATTTTCAAACAGAATCCTTTTTTAATTCCTACAATAAACCATGAATTTATTATTCATTTGGTTTTATAGATGAGGAAATCAAGGCTCAGAGATGTTAAGTATATTCATCAGACTAAGAGCTGGTAAGAGCTAGAATTTGAGTCCAACTTTGTCTAAAGCAGTGGTTCTCAACTGAGGGTAACTCAGTCCCCCACAGACTATTCAGTAACATCTACAGACATTCTTTTTTTTTTTTTTTAACTCCTGATGGTTGTCAGCAATCTTAGGCATTCTTTGACATGTAGACCCAATGTTTGTCACAAATCTCCCTCTCTTTTCCTTATTTTATTTTATTGTTTTTTAAGAGTTTATTTATTTATTTATTTTTAGATAAGGGGAAGGGAGGGAGAAAGAGAGGGAAACATCAGTGTGTGATTGCCTCTCACATGCCCCCTACTGGGGACCTGGCCTGTAACCCAGGCACATGCCCTGACTGGAAATCGAACCAGTGACTCTTTGATTCACAGGCCAGCACTCAGCCCAATTAGCCACACCAGCCAGGGCTAGAGACACTTCTGATTGTCGTGGCATCTAGTGGGCCAGGGATGGTAGCCCCCACAGTACAGCCCCACAAGAAATTGTCCAATCCAAAATGTCAATAGTGTTGAGGTCGAGAAACCCTGGACTCAAAGCCTGTGCTTTCGCCCTATAGGATGGGAGGGTGAGGGGATGAAGACAGCAGAACAAAACTCCTACCTTGTGGCAGGAGAGAAGAGCCTACCATAATGGCCTTGAGTGGGAAGGGGGTGGGACTTTTATGCTAAGGGTAATGGGAATGGGTCAGCTGGTGAGATTTCTCTTCCTTCCAAGCCTGGCCAAGGCCCCGATCAGTTTCTCCCAACCTTGCCAAGTCAGTCCTGAGACTTCACACTAAGCTTGTCCTGCAGTGACCCTGATTCCCAGCTCAGGGCTGGGGCAAACTATTTATTTAGGTTTTCCTGAAGGACTTCCCAGCCAATGACCCTGGTTTCTGGGGCCAGTGTGTTCCACCTGCAGCCCTGGGAAGCTCCACATTACCTCCCTTGCTGTGGAGGGTAAGAGTGTAAAAACTGAAGCAGCCAAGGGCCAGGGGGCATCTAAGAACAGTTAGGAGTGAATAGGTAAGGCCAGGAGAGTCTCTTTAGGAGGTCCCTGCTTGGGGCGGAATATGGCAACTTCAGCAGGGAGTAGTGGGCAGGTAGCCTGGAGAGCAGGGTTCTGACACCAGGAAGCTTATTTTCCACAGCTGTTCCTCCCCTCCAGGCTTAGTCCACAGCTTCACTGGACTTTCCCCAGTACCCATCCTGGGCCCCCCACACACCCATCCAGTCTCCATTCTGGGCCACCCCCCAGTGGTGGCCTCTCTTATTAGAACAGGGAGAGGAGGGTGGGTCTGAGCTGACTGTGCTGACAGGAAATACCTCTCATTCCAAGCTCAGAACCTCCGAAAAACTAACCAGTAGTTTTTTGCGGGAAAGGGGGAGCTGATGGTGACAGTGCTGGAGTGAGAAAGAGGAAAGAAAAAAGTACATACAAGCAGGTCCCCCCACATATTTGGGGTTCCATCTCCTTCCTTCCCTCCCTACTGATGGTGAGGGAGGAGGGAGTAAGGGGATGGAATAGGGCAGGCCAAGAGGAAAGAGGATGTGGTAACAGCTGATTCGTCCCCTGAGGTCACACTTTCCAACAATCAGCTGTTACTGGGGTGGAAGGCAGGAAGTTTCCTTAAAGGCACAATATTCTAAACACAAGTTCAGAATTCTAGAGCTCCTAGGAACCATAGAAATCACTTGGCAGAGCCCTTGTTTAATACAAAAGGAACTATCTCACACTTCAGGTTAATCCTTCCAGTTCGGTTACCCTCACCCCCAACTTGGCGCTTATGGAAAAGTCATGGATCCCTGTCTACACGTTTCTGTTCGGTTTTGGGGCGGGTGAGGGCAGATGAGTGATGAGGTGGGGTGGGTCTCAAACTTGCCCCTTTAAATACGCAGTTCAGCAGCTTTTGCCAAGTCACTGGGTTCCTTTCAGGTTTTGCCCATCCCCCGCCCCTCTAAACTCTGATTGGCCCCTAGGGGAAAGAGCAACCTCCTCATTGGCCTCTACTTTTGAAATCGCTTCCCTAAGTAGGTCTGAGTCAGAGGAAAGCTTCTGGGGGGCGGTAGAGAATGGGAGTATTAGGCAGGGGATAGTGTTGCCTACCATCTGTAGTTTGACACGGCCCGTCCCCTAGTTTCTGACCACAAGTCTTCCTTCTACCCTCAGATGAAGGCTGTGCTATGAATCTTTTTGGGAGGAGGTCGGGTATCAAACCATTTTATTGAGGGCCTTCGGGGGAGGGTCGAAGGGCTGAGAGTACAAAGAGTCCGACATCCTAGGCCCGGCCGGGACTTCCCCAGCTTTACAACCGTTGAAAAGTATGAATCCTTAGTCAGGAAGCGGTTCTTTCGCTGCGGCTGGCACGAGACATCTCCAAGGAAAGAAACGTCTCCTGATCAGGAAGCCTTCCCCCACCCCTTCCCAGGAGGGGTGGACTAGATATCTCCAGTGAAAGCTGGGACGTGGCGAGATGGACAGTCCTCCCTAACCCGAAAGCCCTCAAGGAGTTCCCATCCAGTGGAAGAGTCTGCCGCCCTGGGGGCTGATTTCTACTTTCAGTTCTGCCCACTCCTGCTGCTTCCTTCGCCTGCTCCACCTTTCCTCAGAGAGCCTCCTGCAGAGGTCAGCGAATCCGTTTTGGGGTTGTCTAAAAGAAGCACTCACAGCTTCAAAAAAAAGGAGGGGCTGTAGCCCTTTAAGGATTTAGCCGGGATGAATTCAGAGATGAGTTTAAAAATGCCAACTCACAGAGCGCTCTGGATTCTGGGAAGGATGTGTCAAATCGAGAACTACATTGACCAGTATGCACTGCAAACACACACGCCTTTACTTCCTTCTGCTCTTTCGGACCCTGCTTTGACGTAGCACTCTTCAAAGCAAGTAGCCTAGGAAGAGGGCAGAGCCACACCTTTTCACGTATTGGCTAGCTCTTGAGTTGGTGGGTGTGGCTTAGTGCAACTCTACTAAGCAAAGGGGTGGCCTCCTTGCCAATCAGAGCTAAGACGGCTAGAGAGGCGGGACCAGAGCTAAGGGCTGGCACCCCCGAGTGGGTGTGGTCACGCTGCCCACCAGTAGGCGGTGATTGGCCCTGGGCGGTGCAATCGCAACTTGTGCGTCACGACGCCGCCAGCTGATCGGAGACTGGAGCCGGTGTGTGCTGGGCGTTGGGAAGAGAGCGCCGCCGGCCGTGGGGAACGGACGCACTGATTTGCTCCCCTGCTCTCAGCACCCACCACACACCCAACACCAGGTGGGTGTGAGCTGGGGTCCTGGCCCCACCGGAGGGAACCGTGCTAACGGGGTAATAGGGGCTAGTAGGGTTCTAGCGGCCACACCCTGCCCTTCCGGGGGAGGGGAGAGGGGGCGGTGGATACAGGGGCGCTCTGGGGGAGAGGGGCCTGGACTGTCTGGAGTAGTGTGTCAGGAGGTTTTAAGAAGGAGTCCGGGGCAGGAGTCTTCGCGGAAGGTCTTGCGGAGTAGCTGGGGGGAAGGTGAGGGGCCGGAGGGCTGGGGGCGGCTAACCTCGACGCCCTTTGCTCTGAGGATTCGGGAGACGGCTACCCAGCCTGAGGAGGATTTGGATCGGACGGGTGGCGGTAGAGGTGCTTTGCCTCTACCGGCATTCACTGGGTCAGGGTCAGCTGAGTGTCCTGACAGAGAAGGGGTCTCTCAGGGTGGGCCGGCCCCTCTCATTCCCTCCAAGGGATGTTATGTAAGGGGAGAGGGGTAGGGGGCGGCGGTGCCGGGACCTTATGCAACCCAAAGGTTTAGGGTTTCACCGCGGTTGGTGGGGGAAGCAGACATGAGGAGGGCCTGGAAACTCTACCCCCGGCCCCAGCCTCACTAGCCGTCTTGGGCCGAGAGAAGGTCACCTCTGCACCTCCCCCCAGCTTGTTCGGTTGTGGGGGCCCTAGCCCAAACCTGGCCCCGACTGCCTGGGAAACCGGCTGGCTGGGTGGGGCGCCTGGGTTAGTCATCACTGGGCTCCCTCTCTCCCCACCTCTCGGCCAACTCTTGGCCCCTCCCCGTGGCCTCAGACTAGACTGTCGCCCCCACCTCCCTCCGGCCCTAGTTCCTGCCTCCAACTCATTTGGCCTGTCATCCTGGCTGTCAGACCGGCCTGGAAGCTGTCATGGTGCCAAAAGGTTGATGGAGCAGCTGGTCAGAGGGTCACTGCCCTGGACCCACCCCGCCCTGCAGCCAAGGGCACCTGCTTGGCACATACTCTGAGCAGCCGCTAAGTCCTATGGGCTGACCACAGCCAGCTTCCAGAAAGAGGATTGGGGAGGAATTGGGGACTAGTCACCTGGGGGAAGGAAGGTACCTCAAAGTTCATGCCTCCCTAAAGGGTTTTGTAATTTGAAAACCTCCCACCCCTACCGTAATCTTTCTTACCTTCTGAGTATAAAAATCTCAAGGCAAGACCACCTTGGCCCCTCCCATTGTCATGGACATGCCCTTGGGCGGAGTGTCAGCACAGACCCTCCCGCCACCCCAGCTCACAGCCCCCAAGCCTGCCACGCCCCCAGCCCCCTCCCTGGGCCATGCTGCAGGGCCCGGCTTTTCCTGCTGATTCATGCGTTGGAACTGTGGGGGCGGGGCTTGGAACTTGGAACAAAGTTCAGACATGGAGGGGCCGGCAGACAGCCTGGAATTCATACCAGATGTACCCGGAATGTGTAAGCGGAATGCCTGGCATTTGAGAGTCCTGGGGAGGCTGCCCAACCTCCCTGCCTAATCTCCCTCCCCTCCCGTCTTTGGTCCCTTGTCCTCTCCTCACAGTCCCAGGAGCCTCTGCTGACCTTCCAAACTCTAGATCTCTTCCCTTCCTCGCTCTTTCCCAGATCCAGGGCCCCAAAACTCTTCTTCCAGCTGAACTCCCTGGGAATAAGTCAGCTGGGCTGATCACTGAACTCACATTTCTGGAACTGAGGTATAAATTTCTCACCTAGTACCTGGGCGATGGGTGGGATGTGTCAAGGGTCCCAGATCCTGCCTTTTCTGAATACTGAATAGGCTCGGGTCCTCCATCAGTAGCTGGGGTTAAGGGGTTGAGAGCAGATCTGGGTTTTAAAGCTTCAGCGTCTGGAAAGTATGTTTAGAACCACTTCTTGCTTCTCACTGAAGCTAACAGCTCCTGCAGGCTCAAGAACCCTCCGTTAGAAGGTTGAGTGACTGCTGGGGCTGGACTTGGATGGCCGGCTGGACAGTGTCCCTGTGGTATTGCCCTGCTCAGGTCTTTCCCATTTCTCTTCCCTCTGCCTTTAGGAGCCTGTACCTCCCACACTCTCACCTGGCTGAGCCGCAGTAGTTCTTCAGTGGCAAGCTTTATGTCCTGACCCAGCTAAAGCTGCCAGTTGAAGAACTGTTGCCCTCTGCCCCTGGCTTCAAGGAGGAGGAGGAGGAGGAGCTGCTTTCCCCCTCATCTGGAAGGTGACAGAACGGGCTGGGAAGGTCTGAACAGCAGGAGTGGTGATGATAACCTTTCAGAAAAGGGAACCCAGTTCCGCTGAAGAGTCTTCACCCTGACTGGCACAGCCAGAAAGAGCAATTTTAGATCAGAAACCCTGACTGAATCAGGGAATGGATGGCTCTGACTACCCAAGGTTAGTCAGTGTTTGTGTGATAATGAGGAGAAGTGGAGCAAAGAAGACCCTGTCTGTCCCTTTATCCAGATGTTTTTCTTGACCTTTCTTCCTTATCCCTCATTCTTTCCTCTGGCCTTTCCAGGTGAGGTCCAGAAGTAAGCTGTATCTCAGGGAGCAGTTCATACTGAAACTCCCCATCTGAGTGGTCATGCCCCTGCTCTTCCCTTTCCCTGCATTTCCATAGACTGGCTCACACTCTAGATTCAGGGATACTTAGTGTATGTGGGACCCTTAGACCTCCTGTCTGTTTCTCTACCTATGTGTGATATGGGGGAAATCACCCAGTTGAGTATGCTTGAGGGAATCAGAAGCCCATTTGTGCAGACTCAGAGCTTGGGGTGGGAAACACCTTTTCACTTATGCTATTTCCCCTCCTCCCTCCCTGACTATAACCCCAGGAGGTAGGGGTGGGAGTTGGAGAGTTAGAGAAGCTAGTAGGAGCTCAATCTCTACATGGACTTCTCACCATGCAAACAAAGGTGGTACCAGGCGTCCTCTGCTCCCCAAAACAGGACTGCAGCTCCTGATGGGGTTCCAGCTACCACTGCTCTCTTTCCTTACTTCACTTTCCAGGCTAGTGTGTGATACTCAGCTCAGGCCTGTGCAGGGCAGGAACTACTTGCCCCCCAACCCCCGCCACCCCCTGGCAACCAGGAAAGCTGAGTTCTGGGACAGGATCCCCACTTTGGGGCATCAGACAGTGTAAACCTGTCACCCCAGCTCCTGATCCAATCTCACTCTTTGGCTTGGGCCCTGGTGTGGTTCAGCCTTAGCCCAGTCTCCTTGCCTGAAAGTAGCCATGTTCTGGGGCTGCAGGAGGCTGTTTGTTCTGTTTTGGGGGAGGAGGTATACAGGGAGCTGGGTTCTCTTCTCCACTGATGAGAAACCGAAAGATTTAGGGAAAAGTAGAACATTGAACCGAGCTCTTGCAGCCTAAGCCAAATGTGTGTGGGGCTGTGGTAGAAAGGAGTGGGTAGACAGAGTCTACTCATAAACTTCAACAAAGGTCACCGTGTCCCTGGACCTTGCTTCCATCCTTTCTTCCCTTCCTCGCTTCATTGGCCACAGTGTTTCCCTCCAGCCATGGACATGTGGCTCTGCCAACCTCACCTGTCATGGAGAAGACATGAGGAAGAGCAGCCTGGGCACACAGAGGCAGGCAGAACTCCAGTGAAGAGCAAGGCCTGGAGCGCACAGGGGCCTGTCTGGGCACCCTTCAGAAGGGGCCTATAAGGGCCAGGCGCACCCCAGGAAGAGGGAGGACAGCCAGCCTCAGCATGGGCAAGCTTCCAGCCACCTTCAGGCTTTCTGCCTCCTTCAGAGATGTGGGGCCATACTAAAGTGTCCTGTGGTTTCATCCTCCTACTTCCACCTCTCCTCCACCCTATAATTTTTACATAAGCAGCTTCAAGGAACAAGAGCCAGCTGTGAAATATACAGGAAATTCATAAAATAAATTGAAATGGATAAAACCATGGGAAAAAAGTGTGCCTCATTAGTAATTAAAGAGAGGCAAATAGAGCTATAAGCATTTTTCCCATAGCAGGCTGTAACAGAAAAAAATAAGACCCAGTTGTTGGCAAAGGGCTACTAAAATAACACCACCATACCTTGCATATGGGGTACAAGTTGGTACAGTCTTCCTGGATGCAAGTTTGGTGATATGTATCAAGCATTACTGTGGCCTTTGACCTAGTAATTCTACACTTGGGAATTTATCCTAAGAAAATAATGAAAGATTTAGTCAAAAGGTGTTCATCCCAGCATTGCAATAGAGAAAAATAGGAAGCAACTTTCTGATTGGGAATTCATTTCTGCTGTAATGAAAATGTGCAATAGGGGATTGCTTAAGTAAATTATTGTATATCCATCCAGATGGTGAAGTCTGTGCAGCCATTAAAACCATGTGGAAGAACATTTGACTGGAAAGAAGAATGCTCTTTGGATACTAAAAAGTTTATAAAAATAGCATAGATTTTAATTTTATTTTTTTAAGATACAAGTATGTACTTGCATAATACACAAAGACTGAGGACATACTCTGAAATGGTAATAATAGTGGTTATTTTGGATGGTGGAATAAGGTAATGGTAATTTTCCTCTGTAATTTTCCAAATTTGCTGTAATTTTTTCTGTAATTTCCAAATTTGCTCTTAATTTTGTGTGGCTTTCATATGACAAATAAAATTTAAAAGAACCACTAATTTTTTTTCATAGAGTGGTGGGTGTGGAGGAATGAAGGGATGCCCTTGGCCCCTTGTACTAATGGGGTTTTGGTGGAGAAAGGTGGTTGTGAGAGTGTCTGGGGGAGCACCTGTTGGCTCACAAAGTTCATTCTTTGGAAGGAGGTGGATCCACCTGCTCTGTGTACAGGGAGGCTCTATGAATTTCTGGCTGACAGCCAGCTCGAGATGTGGCATGGAGGAAGATGGAAAACAGCAAAATGCTATCACTAACTCTTCAGCAAATGGGTGTTGGCGGGGGGGAGATTTTCCTCTCCTGGAGGGAAGGTTCTGGAATCCTAAGAGTCCTGCTGCTGAAAGCATGATGGGTCTTCGTTCTCTTTGATTTTGCCCAGCCTTGAGGTGGGTGACCCTGTGTGACCTCTCTTGCTTCCTCAGATTGGAAGAGATACTCTATCCACCCAACAGGTACCACCCTACGAGGAGGGGTGTTTTCAAGACTACAGTGCTGAGTAGTTCCCTTTTCCTCTCTAATAATGAGGCTTCTCCGTGGGGCACCCAAAAAGTTGGGGGGGAGTCCCCAGTGGGTTGCCTCTCCAAAATAGGAGCTGTTGTTCTCTTTGAGAAATACTATGTATGAGGGCAGGGCTCCTAGAATTATATGGTTGCTGGAATGTGTTGGAGGCCTGCAAATTTCTGGAGGTAGAAGGGGTGGCTCTAAGAAAGTGAAGTGCCCTCTCCCCCACAACCGAGACTGGCGGGGGGTGGAGCAGTGTGGTGGCAGTGAGGTTGAAGCAAGAGAAAGTGTGTTTGCCCTGCCCTCGAATTTAAGGGCTGAGTGGATGGGGTGGGAGGGATGATCAGCAGGTGAGATTTTAGAGTAGGGAGAAGAGGTGAAAGTTAGTGGGGCGGGGCTTCTGGGAGAGTCAGGTGAGATTAGTGACCTATTTCGGAAGCTCCCAAGAGTTCAGGACAGAGAGTTAGGGAAGACCTCTATCCATATCCCGGAAGTCCGCCTGAGCTCGGTTGCGCCGCTGGGTCCCCGGGAGCCCATTACCCCGAGGTCCGTTGCTAGGGCGGGACGCGATCTGTTGCCTTGGCTCCAGGGGCGGTGGCTGCACGGTTGCTCCAATCACCGCCTAGCCGAGAGATCCTGGACGAGACCTTGGAAAAGTTACAGCAGATTCCAAAGGCCCAGCGGTCGGAGAGCCCAGGGATCCAGCCCTGCTGAGAGGCCGGTTCACCGTCTCTATAGCGGGTGTTGGATGCGTCGAGGCCGAGTGCGCAGGGGTCCAAGGAACTGATCGGTCCTAGCCTGCCCGCCGGGCCTTGGCGCCCTCAGGGCTCCTTATGACCGGTGCCTCCTTCACCGCCTTCCGCGGGATGCACTGGGTGCTGCAGCTGCTGCCCACACTGGGATCTGCTGCTCAGGACCTTTGGAAGTGGCAAAACATCTGTATCTCCCTGGTGCACAGCCTGCTCACAGGGGCCGGGGCACTGCTCCGGTGAGGCGCTTACAGCTTCGGGAAGCGCCTGGATGAGGGTAAAGGATGGAAAGCTAATATTAGAAAACCTGGTGGACACCTTTAAAATTGATGCTAAATCTTGACAGTCTGATGCTGGGATGGGTGGGTGAAGTGCCTACCAGGAGAATGGGATCTGGGTCTGTGCCTCACTGATCATGGTCCCGTCTCCTCTGGGCTGTTGCTGTGCCCTCAGATGGCTGCTGACCCCATTCAGCAGGCCCTGGGCCTTGATGCTGGTGGCTGTACCTGTAGGTGAGTCTACAGGGAAGGCTGGGCCGGTTTGGCGGTGGGAGACAAGCTTCCAACAGTAATTCTAGGTCCTCTTCTGTCCTGCTTTACTGAGAGAAACTAAACAACTGGGAAAAGTAGGGGCTGGAGATTCCTTTCCAGGCTGTACACTGGCTTGGGGGAAGCCTAAGGCCCACTCGCCCCTACCCTGTTTGCATACAGGTCATTTCCTGGCTGATGGAGCTGACATGCTGTGGAACCAGACCTTGGGCCAGGCCTGGGACCTTCTCTGTCATCATTTGGTGGTGAGACTCAGGAGAGGCTAGACAGGAAGGGAGGCGTGCCCAGACTGAGGACCCCAGTCTCTTCATTGGCTTATGTCCTGTGACTGCCCAGAGAGTCTCCCATGTGCACCCCACCTGGGCTTGACCCTCTCAACCTTGGGCTGAATTGAAAGGAGGGGGCTGACTGCCGGCCACAGTTGGAGTCCAAACAGTGCCTAGGAGCTTGGGTTGCCACAGGTGTCCTGTCAACTGCAGAAATGTTGAATACTGAGCTTTTCTGAGAAGGCAGAGCCCCCATATTGGGAGTGGGAATGGTGCATGAAAGGCCAGGAATGGAATTTAGGGGGGTCCTGTGCAGATGCTGCGGCCCCAGGGAAGACAGCCTCTGAGCCAAGGCTGCTCCCATCATAGCAGGACTGTTTCAAGGCCATTCAAGCTCCTGACATAAGGGGAAGCATAAAGGTTGGGTGTTTGGGGGGAGGGAGTCTCAGAAAATGTTTGGGAACTATTCTCTGAAGGATGGATATTGGGACATGATTGGGTGGTAGGTCATGGAAGGTCCTCTAACCTCTGATCCTGGCTCCCCAAGTAGTGAGCTGCCTCAGCACCACCATTCTCTCTGGCCACTATGCGGGCTTCTCTATGGTGTCTCTACTCCTAGAGCTGAAGTCCTAAGAAGTTGCTACTGCTTTCTCACCAGGCCCCATCCTTGGCCTTCATTGTGGCCAGCTGGGCCACGTTGGCCACCCTGGCCCTTTTCTGCCTGGTACCCCTGGGGTGAATGGGTCTGTGGTTCATCCAGCAGCACCATCAGGTGCCTGCTGCTCTGGTTGTCCTTGGTGGAACTGGGCCGGCCACTGTGGGAGCCATGAGCATCACGCTAGGTGTTTGCATTTTGGCCAGGGATGCCCTGTGGCCTTGGCCTCATTCACCCATCCCTGGGCACCAGGACATGTGATAGTGAGCCTGTCACCAGCGATGATTCCCCTTTTGGCCTGAAAGACTAGAAAGAGGCCTTGGGTTCCTCTTCTGCCAGTCTTGGGGAAAGTAAGACCAGGACAAGGAGATGGTGGTCTTCAATGCACAGCCCCCTGTTAGGTAGGCCTGGGCTGGATTTTCAGTATCTCAGTTCCTCTTTCAGCTAATTCACACCCCTCCCCCATTCCTAGGATCTGGGAAGAAATGCTAATGGTCATGGGTGGGTGAAAATCTGGGCTACTGTTCACTGAATTTCATCATCAGATAACCAACTGTCCTTTCTAGAAAACTAATGCTACCAGAGGTACAGCCAGTGCTACCGATGAAGTGTGGGAGGAGGCATGAGACTGCAGAAGCTCTTTGCTTTAGCACAGGGACAGATGAGGAAAGGTGAAGTTCTGCCAGTATTAGATCTGATAACGGAGAAGATAAGGCCAGAGGGAAGAGAAACCTCACATGTGACCAAATTCTGGCAGTGAGAGGGGAATACAACCGTGCTGTCTGTGGCCAGTAGTTATTAGACATACAGCTGTCAAGACACCAAAGATCCTGGGTCATAGTGATTGCTGCTGATATTTCTGTTTCTCAAAACCTCACTACATTGTGTTTGTATTTAACCTTAGTTCCATGGTGTCCAGCATCTGCCTTTTCAATTTCTTTAGTATCTCTTGACCTTTTCAAAGCAAACATGTATTTTTAGAGGAAGGAACATGGGGCTAGGTCTCTCTTCTTAGGACAGTGTAGAAGTCCAGAGCCATAGTACGGCCTCAAGCACCTACTCTGGTGCACAGTGCAAGGTCTTCCTAGGCCCGGGGTTTCATGGAAGAATGAGGCAGAGGCAAAAGCAGCTGAGGGAAGGCTTCCTTTTGGCTGCAGAGGGATTAAGGAATGCCTGCCTCTTCTGGGAGTCATTCGCAAGCTCTCCTTTCTCCCCAGCTGCTTCTGCTGCCTTAAAAACAATTTTTTTTAAGGCACTGACTGGTGTGGCTCAGTCAATTGAGTTCCAGTCTGTGAAGCAAAGCGTCACTGGTTCAATTCCCAGTCAGGGGACATGCCTGGGTTGCGCAAAGAGGCAATTGCATATTGATGTTTCTCTCCCTCCTTTTCTCCCTCCTTTCCCCTTTCTCTAAAAATAAATAAATAAAATCTTTAAAAAAATAAAGAAAAGAAAAAAATTTTTATTGATTTTTAGAGAGAGAAAGGAAGGGAGAGAGAGCGAAAGAGACATCTGTTTGTTGTTCCACTTAACTCTGCATTCATGAGCCCTGCCTGGGATTGAACCCACAAGCTTGGTGTGTTGGGATAATGCTCTAACCAGCTGAACTACCCAGCCAGGGCTGCATTCTTTTTTGCTATTGCACAAGACCCCTCCCTTCTTCAGGCAGAACATCCAGGTTATGGGAAGTGTAGAGCAGATTAAGGTTGCTACTCTGCTAAACAATGGACCAAATGAGATAACTTTTAATCACCCACAGAAAAGATACAGAAGCAAAAGCAAGAGACAGGAAGATTTAAAAAATACCCTGCCGAAAAGAGAAGCTGATCTAGAGAAAGACAAAGGGGGTGTTAGAGACAGGCATTTGGAGACTGAGGAACAGACAGAAAGAAAGAGGAATCGTCCTATAGAAGAGGCAGAGGCAAAGGGAGATGGAGTGCATGACAGAGAATCCTTGGCAGAAACATCAAGAAAGACTGTTACAGAAGCTTGAAATAAACCAAAATCATGGAATTGGTAAAATGGTCATAAACAAAGAGTACAAGAGGAAAAAAAAAGTCTGACAGCAAGGGACCCCAAGGGTGGAAGGCACAGATAGTCTAGACAGTGATTTATTGAGAGTGAGTGACAGGAGGAACAAGCAGACTCAGGAGAGGCGGAGGTGATAGCAGCGGACAGACGAGAGATTAGCAGGGCGGGAGGAGAGGTGGAAAGAGACGAGGGGGGATTTGTCAGGGGAGCTGAGAAGCGAAAGAGAAGAAGATGGAGGAGGCAGGCAGTGGAAAGATTTACTGACAGAAAAAGAGCAGGAAATAGGTGGTGTTGGAGACAGGCAGAGAGACAAAGGACAAGCAGCTACAGTGCAAAACAAAGACAGGCCAACAGGAACTGATAGGCGGAGACTGGTAGGAAGATGAGAAAAAGTCCAAATCAGGGGTGTGCACTGAGATAGAAGAATAGGCCTCGAGACTGTGGAGAATCCCAGAGAGAAGAAGGCAGGGGTAGGATGGTTAAATGAACACCCAAAGGAAGGAACAAGGGAAAGAAGGGAACACAGAGATGGAGACGGAGAACATGTATGATAAAGATAGGGGAAACTATGAGAGAGAAGGATTGTGAGAGGTCTCCCATCACAGAGCTGTTAAGACCGAGGCTCAAAGGGGAAAAACAACAAATAGAGGCTGAGGAGAAACTGCGAAGCAAACACAGGCAGAAAGTAAGAACAGGGGGTTTGAATGTAATCAGACTAAAACCAGAGAAGCCAAGGTATAGAAGTTGAGATAGAGAAACAAAGTAGAATTCTGTCAGAGTCCGTCTTTTAATAGAAGTAGAACCTTGGAAACTCTCAGTGGAATGCCTTGATTAACAAGAATATTGCCATGAGTTTTCCAAAACAAAGCAAAACAAAAACAAACCCCAAAGGTGACATACTTAGGAGTGTGTCATAAAATCAGTGCTCCAAATGAATACCCTTCTTGGTAACACTTGATAGTTATCTGTGAAGGATGCCTAACCAGCTGAACTAGACTGTAAGGGAAATCTGGCTGTTTCTGTGGTTAATTCATAGAACCCACACAGGAAGGGTGAGATTAGCTACTGGTGGGGGTAAGACATAAGTGAATACTTGAAGAGTTTGGGATCACACACAAATTCTGTCACAGTGACCCAGTAGAACTTCAAGAAGGCAGAACCAGCAGGGACTGGTGTGGCTCAGTGGATTGAGTGCCGGCCTGCAAAGCAAAGGGTTGCCATTTCGATTCCCAGTCAGGGCACATGACTGGTTTGTGGGCCAGGTCCCCAGTAGGGGGTGTGCAAGAGGCAACCACACATTGATGTTTCTCTCCCTCTCTTTCTTCCTCCTTTCCCCTCTGTCTAAAAAAAAATTTTTTTTTAAAGAAGAAGGCAGAACTGGATTGTGATTATAATTAAGTGGTATCTCCTCAACTAGACCAGTTATAGTGTACACCAGATATAGATGATGGGGGTCCGAGAGGTGTGTCAGGTAGTACCCTGGAAGAGAGAAGCTAAAAAAATGCAGAGGTTGACATTTGGTACACTGTGTTGGCTCACTATGGCAGTGCTCTGTCAGACCTCACCATGGCTCAGGAAGGTGGTCCTCCAGACTTCACTCCATGCCTGCCAAGCTACTTGCCGATGAATTACTTGCCTGTAGCACAGAGGAAGGGCTTTTCTGGATGGGGGAACATTGCTACTTTATGGGCTTGGAACACTGTCCTCATCATAAATTAATAAATTGCTAAGCAAATAATTGCATGTCTTTTGTGAGTGTGGTTACGAATCATTTTTTTTTTTCTCCAATGGTGTTCTGATATATAATGCAATGCTGGATTATGGAAACTTTGCTGTGAGACAATCTCTTGGCACTAATTTTATGACCTACAAAGCCTTAAGGTGTTCTAAGCTTCTCAACTACCAAAAAGCAAACCCAATTTGTTTAGAAGAATGGATTTAGAGCAAAGGAATGGGCGCAGACAAGTTAGAGTGATTCTCAGTGTTAGGGGTTAAAAACAAAGACTCTTTTAGACAAATTAACAAGAAAATTAAACAGAAATCTCCATAACTGAGTTGTCAAGACTTTATTGTATGTAAAATCTTGATTCCTCAGGCTGGAAATGAGGAGCCTTTGCTTTGTAAGGGATTGCATAGGTGAAGTTATTTTTAAAGAGCTGTTCCTGTGAACGATGCGAAGGGATTAGGAAGTACAGATTGGTGGTTATAAAATAGGCATGGGGATGTGGAATGTGGCAGGGGGAATATAATCAATAATATTGCAAGAGCTGCATGTGGTGCCAGACGAGTGCTGGAAATGTTGGGGAAAACACTTTGTAAACTATATGAGTGTCTAACCATTATGCTGTACACTTGAAACTAATACAAAATAATATGGAATGTAAACTGTTATTGAAAAAAATGTTTTTAAGTTGCCCTTTTATTGAAATAAAGTGTTTGTTTAGAGTCATTAACGAACAGGAAAGCAAAGGGTTGCCATTTGCTTGAAGCACCCCAGGCTAAACATTTGTTGCACTGCTACCACATTGGACACTGTTTAGATCTTATTTTATTTAATCCTGTACAATAGAGATTTATCTCTTTATTTATTTATTTTAAATTTTTTATTTATTGGGGGTTATTTGGGGGGAGAAACATTGATTTGTAGTTCCACTTATTTATGCATTCATTGGTTGATTCTTGTATGTGCCCTGACATGGGAGCAAACCCACAACCCTGGTGCTTGATGAGGATGCCCTAACCAACTGAGCTATGGGGCCAGGACCTCATCCCATTTTTTTAATCAGTAAAGCAAGGCAACTTTCTCAAGGTTATCTAGCCAGTTAGTGATGGGGTCTGGACTCAAACATATATATAAGGACCGTCTGGAAAAATTCCAGCCATTGTTAATACAAAGAGAACGGTTTGTGCAACATCAATGTGACCTCGCAGCCAAGGAGAGTGGACTGAAATGCTCATGTGTGAACAATGACAACCTCACTGTACTCGTCAATGGGGGTGGTAGACGCCCTTGAATGAGCATGTGTATTGTGTGGACGTCACATTCAAAATGACTGAGCAAGTAGAGCAAAGAATCTGCCTCAAATTTTGTGTTAAGCTTGAACATTCCTCCTTGGAAACTATTCAGATGATTCCGAAGGCGGAAGCTATGGGCAACTGGTGATTGGCAGTTTCTTCATGACAACATGCCAGCTGATGATTTATGTCTTGTGCAGAGTTTTTGGTGAAACATC